ACAAAGCAAGGATCAAATTCTTCGGGTGTCACTCGCTACTCTTGCGAACAGTTGACTTCAACTTGATTCCAGAGTTCGCTAGTGTGTAGCATTCACATCGTATGTGCAGCTAGTTCACATAGTGAAGCCATGCAGTGGACCACATCGTGTGCGACTTTGAAACAGCGAAAGCAGAAGTAACTTCAGCTGTTAGTCTGTTCGAAATCGCTGCCGCCTGGTTCATCCCAGCATAGTATGCAGGGGCTGGTGCCGATAGAATCGGGTTGGGCAAAGCCGCCATAGGCGCCATAGAGGACATTGGCTGAAGTGGAACTTGCACAGTTGGCCCCTGGATCTGCTCTCCCACTGTCACACTTCATGTCACTTTGCACATCCAAGACACCAATGCTTCGACATGAAATCATGAAACTTCAGCAAGCAACACAGCAACCGCCTGGACCGAAAGGCCCTGTGGAGGTCTCACACCTCGAACATGCCAAAAGTAAATAATCTATTTGCCGGGTTGATGATCTGACTTGTGATATGACTAGACTATCTTTCCAAAGCATAGCCTTGCTCCATCAAAAGCGACTGAACGGGATGGTCTCCACATTCCTTCATTTCATCAACCTTTGGCACAAAAGCGGAATGTTCCAAAGTCCAGTTGCTGAACAAAGAGGGAAAATGAGTTAAAGTTGCAAAGTCGGAAAGTCCACTCAGTGGCCGCCGAGCCTTGACCCCTCTGGAGGCTCTATGGGAACGTGCTTTTGAGCCTGTCTAGCGCAGGACAGCTGGACAATGCTGGACACGCTGGATATGCTGGCACAGCTTTGTCAGAGCCTTCTGATTTGGACCACAAAAAGACTCCAAGCCCAACCGCTAAAAGGCCGAATGCGCCTCCACCTCAGATCGCAACATGCAAAAAAGGATGTCTTTTGACATCTAAAGAATAAGGCTTATAGGTACGTTAAGCTTCTCACAATGCTGCCTAGATGCACAAGACCCAACTCATGGGAAATCCAGAGCTCGGTGGCGAAGCATCGACCACCGTTTCATCACTTGCAACGACACGTTGTGCCTGAGGTATGACCTTTACATCTGGGTACTTCTGCAACGGGTTCGGCTCTGGAAGCGCAATGTTACTGCCTTTCAGCATATGTGTGCAATCCTCCGGACCACTCACCGCTCCAGCCACATTGGGCGTCCGGATGGCATTCGTACCCAGGAGCCAACAATCCTGGCGTCGCCATGTCTTGAAGATACGCAGAACCGATAGCACTATTCCCCTACTAACAGGATGACTCCTTTTCACATAGACTGCCTCTTTGATTGCAAACCTATTTGTTCCGGCTTGCAACTTTTGCCGTTGTAATCTGAGGTTTGTGGTCCTTTGAAAAACCTCTTGGAGAGGATGCAATCAATCTGGAAGGTAAGCTGTATTCTTTCAAGCAAAGCTTCGGCCTTTTCCCTGTAGTATGTGGGAACATGCTGGAACTGCCGCGGCCTTAGATGCCTCGTAATAGGTGAAAAAGGAGCAATCTGGATTCGTCTCGCAATACATCTGGCACCTTGGCACTCGTTCGAGCAGAAAGTCTGCCAAACTGGATCTGTGTGTCCAGTTTGTCGGACTGGCTTAGGGCTTAGGGTTTCCAAGCACGTGGGCAGGGCATCTAAACACTACTAGTACAGCCAAGTCTTCGCTTTAATGCTTCATGCCCAGAACAAGCTTATCTCAAGGGGCACTGGGTTCTTCCACTACATGCAAGTACATCAAAGTCTTAAGCCGAACTGTTTTAAAGCCGCTGCACAAACAAATATATATATATATATATGTGACTTTGTGACTACAGAACAAGAATTCCATAATTATGTTACATACAAGAATTGAAAACAAAAAAACTCGAGAGCTTCTGTCGAAACAAATCTTGACATCATGAATGGGTATAGATGGAGCAGCATGGGAAGAACTGATGTATGCGAGCTGAAAATCTTGTATGATCAAGGAGTGGCCAGAAAAGGTGCAGTGGCAAGGTGTGTGAGCCACACACATTTCAGGCCAACCCGCTCCTTCCCCCCTCCCACAACTACCCACCCCGGGTTGGCTGACAGTAGGTTGAATTGACGCAGAGCAATCGACCGGGGGAAGGATATGATGTACTGTACTCTTGAATTGAATAAAGAACATCTGGAAGGAGGTCATCAAAATGCTGCAGAAGAAAAGCTCCTTCAGCACATGATGTTCTGAGGATTTAATATGCTTGCATGGTAACTCATAAGGCTTTAGCTGCTGAAACAGCAAACAAAGCTTTTGGCACCCGACATTGTTGACACGCAAGTGCTTGGAAATATAAAGACCGACAGCTGCAAACGTTTTCTCCAAACACACGTGGTGCTGGAAGATATCCGTGTCAAAAACAGCACCTTTATCACACACAGGTGGCCAATGTCTTTGAATAAAATGGATTCCCTATCACATCATGCCCTTGCTAACTGACGTTGATTCTGTTGCTTCTTGGTAAAAGCAACTGTCGTCTCTGAATTTCTTGGAACCTGAAGCTCGACCTTATGAAAATATGTTCTTCCTGGTTTTTCCCCGAATGATTGCACTGAGTGACTTATGCATGATATGTCTTGACCACAGATTTGATATGTATATATATAATATAGGAGTGAGGCATAGTGTCTCTCAAGTGAAATTCTTAAGAACAATTGTTGTGTGCTAGAGAGAGAGAGAGAACACCAAAATCAGTTTCTGCGGCACTTCCCCAATTCTCTGACTCTGGAATGAATACAGCCGAATATCGCCAGAGCATCATACGGCTTCCCTCCATTCCTCTTTGTCAATGAAGGATCCTCCCAATGACGAGGAAGTGCAGTACTTGCAAATTGCCTACTTGAGGAAAACTGCACGATGAAATAGGGTCCTTGTATGCCACTCCTACTTGGGCACATGGGGGGATTGCGCTCTCCACCACCTCAAGTCACTGCCAGAACCACTCGGCGTCTGGCGTCTGTGCCAGTAGCAACAATTCCTGACTGAGCTCTTAACCACTAAGGTGACCATTGCCAGTAAATTCACCATCATGGCACTTCCAGCGGCCCCTTGGCCCTCACATACGTAAAAGAATTCGTCTTTTGAGCCCACAATGCTCCAGCTTCAATCGCTTTCCAGGAGCAAGGCAAGATTCATGAATCCTTCCACTGGTTTTGGATAATCGGATAGTAGACTCATACAGGTACCTTGCGGTCGCTCGGTCTCTTACAACCGCCAACCAGATCCAGAATGCAAAATACTATGCAGTGTTAGACAAACAATCCAGGGGGTTCTAGAGTCACCGGGCTCCAAGAAGGCGAAAGGTTCGCAAAGGGTTGAGGGTTCCAAGGTTCCAACTGAAAAGTTGCTATCAAAAAAATATTACACCACCGTAGACCCCCAACAGGTGGGACAACAACGAAGCATTCTCAAGTCCACTTTTTGAGACATCAACAAGAAGGGAGACAAAAGCAAACAGAAGGGAGACAAGACGGACACAATGGCCAACAAGAAGGGAGACAAGAATGGAGACAAAGAAAAAAGAAGGGAGACAAGACAGGCACACTGACCAACCAGACGGGAGACAAGACCGGAGACAAAGGGATACAGAAAGGAGACAAGACGGACACAGTGACTAATAAGAAGGGACACAAGACCGGAGACAAAGGGAGGCAGAAGGGAGACAAGGTGGACACAATGATCATTGTGTCCGCCTTGTTTCCCCTCTGTCTCCCTTTGTCTCCGGTCTTGTCTCCCTTCTTGTGGGCCAACAAGAAGGGAGACAAGAAGGGCGACGAAAGGAGAGAGAAGGGAGACAAGACGGACACAGTGACCAACAAGAAGGGAGGACAAGACCAGAGACAAGAAGGGAAGACGGACACAGTGACCAACAAGAAGGGGCACAAAGGGAAACAGAAGGGAGAGAAGGCAGACACAATGACCAGAGACAAGACCGGAGAGAAGGGGAGACAGAAGGAAGACAAGAAGGGAGACAAAAGGAAGACAAGGCGGACACGATGACCCAAGACAGAAGGGGGCAGGCGGACACGATGACCAACAAGAAGGGAGACAAGAAGGGAGGAAAAAGGAGACAAGGCAGACAAAGGGAGACAAGAAGGGAGACAAGGCGGACACAAAAAGGGAAACGAAGGGAGACAAGCCGGACAAGGGAGAGAGAAGGGAGACAAGACGGACACAGTGACCAACAAGAAGGGATGACAAGACTGGAGACAAGAAGGGAAGACACAGTGACCAACAAGAAGGGGCAAAGGGAGACAAGCCGGACGGAAGGCGGACGCGCTTTCCGGCAGCAAGGGGGACACTCTTAGAAAGCGTTGAGAACCCCTAACAGTAACCTGTTTGGGGAAGTACAGAAATCAGCTGGGAGACAAATGAGTAGAAATGCTGGAAAGGGGAAAAGGGCGGATGCCAGCAGTGCAGGCACCGAGGCTGGGAAACAAAAGTAAGCAAATCACATGGGAGACAAATGAATAGACATGCTGCCAGCAGAAAAGGGCGGACACCAGCAGTGCAGGCACCGAACCTGGGACAAAAGTAAAGAAACCACTTCTGAGACACATGAATTGAAATGCTGCATGGCCAGCGAAAAAGGGCGGACACCAGCAGTGACAGAAAGGGCGGACACATCTTAAGAAAGATATGAGAAACCCTACGTAACGGTAAACTGTTTGGGGGGCAAATGGAAATGTTGCATCGCCATTGAAACAAGTGCGGCGCAACACAACCAATCAACCAGGCACAACCAATCAACCAGGCACACCACATTTGCCGATCTGATGTAAGTATATAGATGAAGTTCCATGAAGCATATAAACTGCAGAGACATCGCACATCATGTAGAGTTAGAACGAGTAACAATATACATAAGTTCTCTATACATATATATATAATACACATGAAATTTTTATATCATCTAACGCGCTGAAGTTCAAGTATTTGCAATCCTGTGGCGCTTTTCAATCGATGATGGCGCTGCTTTGATCGCTCTTTGGCAATCATTGTTTTCAAATCAGCACAGTCTTGAACCTTCCCACGCCTGTTGTCACGCGGCTTTGAAGCAAGCTAACAAGTACAAAGTGCTGCGCTGGCAAACGCGGCGCTGTTTTCTTCACGCCGAGTCAGCATCCCCACTCACGTCGCAAGCCTGAAAGTGCTGCGCACGTCTTTGCTCTGCACTCGCTTCTCCCGCACTGCCTGGAGTTTCTCATCGGCTTCAATCTTCACTTGTCGTCTCTGCTCCTTTGGAAACGGGATGGAACATGAATTCACCACACGCACTGCTTCATCAAACTCCCTCAACACCCTTCTATTTCCCTCTCTCTCTCTCTCTCTTTCTTTCTGCCGTTGCTCTCTCTGCATGTAACCACATGTTGGTCGCATTTTCACACCGTCCCTTGGCGGTCGCAACCTTTTGCTCCACAACAAACTCTACGCCTGCTGACCGGAAACATTCACAAGCATGTTGCGAGGAACTGCGCAAATGTGTTTTAAAGCATCTTTTGACACTCTCGTCGCGCCCTTTCGCGTTGGCATTCTGCTTGCCACTTCTGTTGGGCTGTCGGCGGTCATGTGTTTCTTGTTGGATCGCATACTGTCCTGATCCAGCCCCACCCATCACTGTCTTCACAATGGCTCCCAGGTCCTCGGGCCTTGCGTCCCGTCATCTTTGTTGCATCATCGTAAATCACTGAGGTCTTGTTGAACAGCGTTAACAAAACTCACCCAACTTCATGGTAGACTACTCGCGTTGAGGAGGAGCTGTTGTCTCAGAGCACGTTTCCTCAAACATAGTGCGTTGTAGCAATGGTGTTGAAAAGAACTTCAATTTATACAGCGGTAAAGCATGTGTTTGTTTGCGTGTTCATCGCGCTGCCCATGCGCGCTGTACACAGTTCTGCTTTTTGGTTTGCAAGGCGCCATACCATGTGGTGAAGTTGTTGGTGTTTCAGTGTTTCATTGCTCCTCATCGTCACGTTTGGTCATCGAGCCCAGCTGCCAGTAGAGTGTTTCAGCGCACACGCGCTGTGTGAAAAATGTCTGCTCTGCATCTGCACTATGTTTGCGTGCCAAAAAAGCGCTCAAGCTCGATGCGCTTGCCTTGTTCCAGAAGGCACAGGGCTGCTGGCGTCCAAGCTGGACGAGTTCAAACCATCACTTGTTGGACAAGCCGTGCAGATAGAGACTGGAGCGAGAGCGGGCGGTATCACATCTCCAGTTGGCTGGTCGAGCAATCAAAACGCCATCCTGGAACACCTGCTCAGGATGGGCACGTTGCGCACATTCGTCCATCCTCTTGATTCAACGCGCTGCTACCAACACATCTTCATTCAACTCCACAGCTAACTGCGGCCAGACTGCAACGGCTTGACAATGTCAACAGCTTTTTACAGTACAGTAACTGTATAGCTGTAGGAGACTTCAACTGCAGTCTCTTTCAAGCTCTCCTGCGCGTTGGACTGACGTCGCTCAAAGCTATAGCATTGGTGGTGGACCGCTCCACGCTGACCGAATGCAGCAACTTGATGTGATCCCAGCACATGGTCTTCGTGCCACCAAAAGCCGGCACGCTGACCGGTCCGGGCATCTGGAAGTCCGAACGGCGCTGCTTGAGCCTCAGGCAGCATTGTTCGCTGCGCTCGTATAGTGGTGCCACCTCGAACGACTTAATACAGTACAACACATGAACCAAGTTCATGTTGTACGCAGGATGGGGTTGCTTTCTGTAGATGGAACCACACGTTGGTCAATCTCTGTGCGCGACTATCTCGCGCAATGGCATTGTCCTTGCGTTGAAGCAGCTGTTCACGTCGCGTCATGCGGGTTGCTTTCACCTGAATGCTGTCAGGTTTATCAGATCCCTGGCTCTCTTTACTGTCACATGCCCTTAGAATCCACACGCCTCCTCCAGCTCAGTTCCAAGGTCAAGGAGGCCGTCACAAATCCTTCAAGCTTGAACACTGCGCACAGACTGACATTCCAAGAGAGCTTTCTGACCTACGACTGATCTGCAGCGCTCCATCTGGCTTTGCCAAGCGTCGCCTTCAACAGTGATGCTTGTGTTGCTCTCATTCATAGGTACTTCCAAAGGCTGGGTTGCATGCGCGTTGGCAGACATGGTCTGCACGACTTCAGGGTCCTTGTTGAACAAAGTGTTGAACGAATCAACTAGTCACGCTGGTACCTCGATCTTGCGCAAATCTTCAAAGCTGAGGAGCAAGCTGAGAGCCATTCTTGGATTTTTGCTGCAATCTGGTCTGGCTCCTAGCATCAAAATACACAAGCACCTGCATGTTCTAACTTCCGTATCTGGGCCTCATCGGCTATGTAAGCACCCGCTCCATTGTCTGTGACCTTCACATTGAAAATTGCGCTCGCCTTGAGTTGACAGTCTACTGAGGTTGGGACGTAGCTAATGTTGCCTTCCTCTTGTCCGGGAACGAAGGCAGTGAGAAGGCATGGCAAGCCTAATGCTCTTCAAGAACAAAAGGAAGCAGGGAACCAGAGAGATTATCACAGAAGCCCGGAAGAAGGTTGCGATCTAATGAAGATCAAAATGACATCAGAAAGGGTCGCGCCTTTGATCATGGCTTCAGCAATTGATCCTGGCCCGGCCTGAGCGGTTCCAGGCCCCTCACGCTCGGATGCCTGTTGCACTGGAACTGCCGAGGCCTTTGTCACTAAACAATCAGCGGCGGTCATGTACCTGAATTGTTTACATCTTCAACACAAGCCAATATAACAAGGATGCTCGCTCGCACTGGTCTATGTTCTTCACAAAGCCAAGGATAAGGGGCTGAAACAGCCACTCCTGGTGAAGTGTTCACGCAAGCACAAAGCTTTCAGATGGTCTGGACGTCAATGTGAATCTGCAAAGCAAAGCCGCGCCCCAAGTTGTCGAGACATCCATCGTCTCCTCAACACAAAAGGCACTGGAAAAGGTGCGAAATTACAAACGGTCGACAAAAACTGCGTCCAAGCAACTCAGACAGAGATTTCCGGACCTCCGAAATGCAGCACTCTGTCAAAACCAAGCCAAAGTGATGGGATGTACCAGCAAAAATGGATGTATGAGAGAAGGTGCGGTTGTGAATGATACAAGAAAATCTTGCCAAAAAGCAATCACCGTGGATGACGAACAAAATCTTTCTCCGAGTGGATCTGCTGTGCCAGGTGGTGACATCCTGGACGCTACACGCATCCTTATGAGGTATATATACATATGAAAAAAACATATAATGCTCCGTCCATCCCTCCGTCCGTCCGTAGGTGTGTAGGTTGATAGGTATGGTGGGTATGGTAGGTCTGGTAGGTATGGTGGGGGGTGGGGTAGGTAGAGCGTGGGGTAGGGTAGGGTAGGGTAGGGTAGGGGTGGGGGCAGGGGTAGGGGCAGGAGTAGGAGTAGGAGGGGGGAGGGGTGAAAGAGTGACTAGGGCGTACACGGTTGAGGTGCAGACCACTAGTGTCTTTTTCTACGCAGAGCCTTATCCTCTTGAGCCTTATGGCAGTCAAGCATGGACACACTAGATAGGCCACTGGAGTGGAACCTGTACAAGTAGGCCTCTACATTTCAGCAGGCACAAAACTCATGGCCACTCCAGCCTATTGCGTATGTCGCACACTATTTTTCCACCGTAAGGCTAAAACAGTCCAGCAAGCTCTAGTAAGCTTAAAAAGGAAACTACGGTGCCCTGTACTTACCAATTCCAGTGTGTGGCACACTATAGTAAAGGTAATCTCAAGGTATACTAGATACAGTGAGGGAGCGATAGCTTACTCACCTCAAATACAAAGTCAAAGACAATGTATCTCGGCTGGAGACTGTATCGTTCACCGGCGAAGATACCAGTACCGGCGCTCAATAGCCCTTAAATAGCCAGAGCTGTCAATCTTTCAGAAAATTCTAAATTCAAAAGGAAAGCGGCTTCTTTTGCACAGAGACCTATAAAAGCAGTAAACGACACCCGCGTAACGAAAGAACTAAAATTTCAAGACCGCACAAAATGCAATGAATTAAAATGCCTTGCAAAATGCAAGGAGCGTGAATAATTCGGTCCGAGGAATAGTCTTCTCGAAAAGTGGTCTCGGCCGCTTCCATACACAGGACTTATACCAAAAATTTGAACTGCATCAAAAGGACTCTCTCACATTGATACCAAAATTCAGCCAAAAACAAAAAGGAAGGAGATACCGGCAAATCTATGTACAAAAATCTTGCACTACAATTGCAAATTCATAAAATGACTTAATCATCAACCATAAATGGTTGTCCATTAGAGGTCACTTCAAAAGAGCGGCTATGGTAGATATCATCAGTTCTGTAAAACTGTCCATACCTACCTGCAGATAATACCCGTTTAGTAAAACTATATTTATCTGCATGCTAAAGCTTAAAACTTCAGCCTGGCAACTTAAAGTCAAGCCTGGAAGCAAAGTATCAACTGTAATCAGAAGTATCTTCACTTCCTAGCCATCATTTAAGATTCAGCCTCCGCTCTGAGTTTCTGCCGCTGCAGTCGATGGAGCTGCTTGATCAGAAGTTGGCGGCCTTCCTTTCCTTTTATTCTCCTTCTGTCTCTCCTTCCTCCGCAAGTTAGCCTCTCGAAGAGTCTCGCCCAAGCGATAAAGCTTCCTGTCCCCAGATGAAAGGGAAGCTGGTCTGAGTGAAATAAACATTGGGCCATGACTGTCATCGTCAGAGGGTCTCGAGCACATAACCTCCGTGTCAATCATAGCAAAGTTCTCTGAAAAAAATTACAGACGAACTCCTTCGTGCTCACTGTGGAATTTGTATATTCCTCTTCACTCATTGAATGACCCCATTCAACAATGGTAGACAAACACGTATCGCCAAGCTTTGATCCCTGGTACATTTCTTTTTCTTCTGTAGAGTATTCTTCCCAGAGTTTCTCAAAGTAAACTTCACACTGCTTGAGGACATGTGAAGATGAACTGTAAAATGTTCTGGGAATAGGTGCTTTGATACCAGGATCTGCTGCTACACGGGCTTCTGAAAACCTGCGGATCCAATGCTGCATGGTGCTGTAATAATAGTTAGCCATTGGCTGCCTTTTGTACCCAGACATTCTGTAGGCCAAACTATTTGCATCACCAGAAATGATGTCCACCTCATATACAAAACACTCATAAAGCATCAATGCTGTCTGTTCTCCTGTCAATAGGTGGGCATCCACAGCACGGTGTGTGTCAACATGATAATTACAGACTCTGATGGTATGCATGTTCGCTCGAGTAAGTGGAACACGCTGGTCCTTAGGACCATAGTCCTCAAATTCAAACTCTGCATCCTTGAAATCTTGACGAGGCCTTGTTTCTCCAAAACAAATCTCATAGATAGCCCAAGTTACATCACGCTGTTGACAGTGACCAAGGTCTTGGTCATGTCCAGCAATGACCTTGACATAGCCATCTGGTGCAATTCTAGCCATCACTGCAAGATTCTCCCAATCATTGAAACAAACTGTCCAATTCTTTTGCTCAAGAAAATCCTTGGCAGGAACAAGGAGATGAGCTTCCTGGAGAATCACGACATGTGCACGTAAAAAGAAGAGCATGTTGAAGAAAAGGTTGTTTTCAAATTGCTCATATTGAAGTGACATGTCACTCTGTTTGCGTGGCTTCATTGCACGATCAAGTCCTTGGAGAAACTTTGGTGTGGTGTATTTCTGACCACGAACCATGTTGCCATAGTTCCAGGGTAAAAATGTCAACGACTCTGAGCTGGCCAATAAGTTAGTTCCATATTGTTCTTCTATTCTTCCTTTGAGGAACCTTTTGCACAGCTCTTCATAGAAGGTGACATAGTCCCAACTGGGTCCCTTGGGACCATGTGCTTCCAGTTCTTCTCTAAAATGTTTCTTTGTAACCTCCAAATCTGCTCGAGCTTGTTCTGCCCTTTCAAGGGCCCTTGGATCGACCTGATACTTGTCATCCAAATAGATGATGCGGTCATCATTGATGAAAAATCTCTTCAAATCATGCTCTGAGCTGTCTTCATAACAATCAGGTGGAGGTACTGGACAGATCTTTCGAATGGATCGAACAAAGTCGTCCTCGTTGATCATTGACTGATAGTGAGGATGGGAAATCTCACCTTTTCTGAAACAAACATGGTTCAACAATCTCGCGTGAGTTTCCCTGAAGCATTGTTGATAAAAGCCAATACCTGGATCTCCTGTAAGCTCTCCAAACAACCTCAAAGGTGAAGTATGCAACTCATAGGTATTGTCAACATCCGCTGTATCTGTATCAACAACTACTTCAGATGGAAAAGATTCTTGGATTTCAGCCTCCAATTTCTTCTCTCCATCATCCTCTCTGACCTCTCTTATCTTCTCCACCGCCTTTTTCTTCTCCTCAAAGGTTGCATCATCCTGAACTTCTTCATGAAAATGAGGATCAGGAATTTTATTTAGGCGGCTTTTCTTAGATTTCCGCAGACTTGAAGTATCATCAAGGTTAGCATCATTCTCACCTGATGGTAAGTGCGATGCAGCTGAGTCCTCACCTATCTCTCTTGACAGAAAGTGTGATGCTGACTCATCCTTGGCTTCCTCCTGGTCCACTTCCATCTTTGTGTCCTCTGAAGGAAAAACACCTGCATTCTCCTCAAAAACTTCTTCATCTTTTACGAGTTCAACTGCAGGATCTTCTTCATGGACTTCCTCTTCCATATCTTCACCTTCCATAATCTTCATACTACCAGTATAGATCTCACCAGTGATAGTGGAGACTCTTGTGTAAGGAGGAACTTCTTCACCTGCCTCAAAAGCTTGTTCTGCGACATCCTTGGTGAGCAAGTCCTCTACAAGATTTTCTCCCATGGTTCTTGGAAGAGATTCTGAGGTCTCAAAATAATCCGTCCTCTCTGAACTGAAAAACTCCGTTGCCTTCTCATTGTCCTTTTGATCCTTAACAAGATGAGTAATCTTCACTGCTTCTCCCTGTAACACCTGATCACCTTCTCTATACTTGTTGACAATGGAGCACCATACTGGCACATTGTCATCATCAAAATCAAGCTCCATATTATCTGCCATCAAGTTTGAGATGTTTTGAGCTGCCTGTTCTTCTTCTTCCTCACGTTCTCTGGCAAGCTCCTCATCCTTCTGGATCTTGAAGATACCCTTCAGGATGTTTTGTAGTACCTTTAAGTTCAGCTTCGATGATGGCTCAAACGTCCCTGAACTTACAGGCTCAACTACAACACGAGAGCAAGAAATCGCCTCCAAAAACTTGGAATTGTATTGGCGTTCAAACTCTTCCTTCTTGATCATCTCATACAAGGGATCAGAAACTGCAACACGCGCCTGAACATATTCACGAAGTTGATAGCATGCATGTTGCACAAATCTGCTGTTGGGGTTGTGAAGAAAACTCTCTAAATGGTTCCTGTCACGGTCAATCAAATACCACACAACTCTTGCAGAAAAACGGAATTTCTTGAAGTTCATAGCAAAATGTGTATGATACTTCTCTGGATCCTCTTCTGCATATAAGGCAGCCTCTGAAGTCTTGTAAACAGGGAGATTTGTGAGTGGATCCAAAATCATAAACTCTTCCCACAAGATCGAATGCTGAAGAACCCACCTGGGAAGCACCTTGATGAAAAAGTCACAAACAAGTTCAGACAAAAGGTGCATGACACGGCCAATCTCTTCCTCCTGCTTGAAACGATAGTGCAATTTGGCAAATAAGGGACTGTTAAATGCTTCCTCCACTGAGTTGCCAAAATTATCCCACTGAGGTTCTGGAATACCAAAGTTCCAACCCAGCAATTTGGGATCTCTGCACATATCCAAGAAACTTGTAAGTTCTGCAGAATAAAGGCCATGGTCTGTCAGAATTTCAGCCCAGCGGCGTCCATTCTCCCAAGCACGGATGAAGAAAAACTGTTGGTATCCAGTTTGTGCCAACTCCATCCACTGAAAAACTCCAGGTTCAAAACTGGGTGCATACGTCTTGGGGTCTTCCTCTGTTCCAT